AATAAATTTGAAACATGTATTAATTCAAACATCCTAAAAAAACATTTAGAAAATAAAGTATTCGTTTCTCACCCTCATAGTCGATTGTCTGACGATTGATTTCTTCAATCGTCTATTCCTCTTAGGAACCTCAAAGCATCGACTTGGTACCCTTGAAACGTGTCGTTTCCGATAGAACATTCTTCCAATCATCTTCTTCCCCACAAAAAAAGTCACGTGCGATTGAACCGAAAAAGGGAAAAAATCGTCATGACGACGATAAAGCAAAGAAAAAGTCAAAGAAGAATCCAGGTGCCTATTTCCAGTAAACCTCGTCAGAATTGTCGCAGCTTTTGTTTTTGTTGGCTCTGGAATCGGGCCAATCTCCAAGAGTTGTACACGCGGCCGATGTGACTCTGGAATTCCCCTCTTTACTTCTCCACTTTCATCTATATCCCTCTGTAAGCAAGTCTCGTCGTCACGCGACGCGTCGCTCGATACTCGTTGGGACGCGCGTGCGAACACGAAAAGTTGCCAAATGAGACTCAAAGAAGAATCATTTTTACTGAGACTTGTCTGAATAACATGGAAAGTCTAATTCTTGACATTTTCACGTAGGATACGACAATATACAAGACATTAATTCGAGCCCTTTTCACTTTTCATCCGGTAAACAAAGTACAAAAGACTATAAAAACATAAAAGAAAAGCTATTGATGCTTCAAGCAATGTTCAAAAGCTGAATCCTAGTAGAGCTAAATGAGGATGGGGCAAATGTTACTTGTTTGTTTGAGAAGCCGTCTGTTGATGAAGGAAAGCTTACTATATACAAGAGCTTTTGACTCACATCATGCGTTAATCGTCAACCAAACAAACAAAGGAGCTTGTCAATGTATTCCACTATAAATTAAACGTGTTTTTTTCTTATTTTTAAAAAACAACTCTTCCTCCCTAGACTCTTGGGATTCTATTTAAATATTAATCATTCTGTTTGCTGAAGAACTTAAATAAAACTCCAATATTTGCTGATTTTTTTCTTTTAAATCGATAAGTAATCTAGCCTTCGATGAATTAAACAAAAAGAGATAGCGGACATGAAAGAAATATTTAAATAATGAAAATGTTGATAATAATCGTGTCAATAGTTTTACTTTAATGATTATACTATCTCAGATTTCTCGGTTCTTATTACCACTTTTATTTGTCTCATTCATGTGTCTTGCATTCACGTTTGTTCTTTATTCACTCCATCACTCAGCCAAAATGACTATTTTACTTCCACCTTAGCAAAGCTGTGAGATATGATATCGTTATGGGAAGTAAAACTAGAGGAGTTGCTTGATGGTCTGGAAGAGGTGGTTTTCCTCGCTCCAATTTATGCGCACGAGTTTTACATCAACCAAGTGTTTCGTGTACTTGATAGTGCGGTGAGAACATGAAAGGAGATTGGATGATTAAGTTTACGTCAAAGGAATACTTTGATAGTTAATTACTATTTTGGATAAATTGACGTATTAATTATTTGTAGTATTTAATCGTACTTTTCTTATATTTAACAACATATTCAATTATTGATAAACACAATAAATTATCATCGTTAAAATCTACCATTTCGGCAAATGGATTATTAAATGATGAAAACTTTTTTTAATAAATAATGTTATTTTTGGTCTACAAATAATTTTTTTTTAACAATAATTTTAATAAGTAACAAGAGAGAAAATGATTATTAAGGCAATTAAAGAGCTTTAAAAAAAATAAATGACATCAATTAAAAATGATTATTAATTAAAAGCAGCATGAAATTACAATATTCAAATTTTTTTTATTTGTATGAGGAGCCATTAGAACCTCTTACTTGAAATCGATAAGTCTAGTAACATATTCCATAAACGAAGCTATTAACGCATGTAAAGTACTTTCTATTGGAAATGTTGAAAGCTGTTGATTAAAAAATACATTCCTTAAAGTTTTCCAGCTGACTAATTAATAGTTATCAAATGCCGACGTTTATTTATTGACTATCTATAAATACAACACAATATTAATTAGTTGGAAATCTGATAAAAATGTGTGAAATATAAACGAGATATGTTGCTAAAGTTTCATGTAATGTTGGAGCAATCCAATACTCAAACATCAATATGAATATTGAGAGTATAGCTTTAAATCGTGCAAGCGTTACTTGAGCAAAGTAAATAAATATTAAATCACCATGTAAACAATGCCTTCTATTTTCCTAATGTTTTTGATGTATTAAATTACACTTTTCATCGTTTACTTACAGTAAATGGATAAAGTTGTACTCATCAACCTCAACTTCAATATGAAAACTTTCTCTCTGAAGTTATAAAATATTTATCGACAATCATGCAAATGAACTTTATTTTTTACACTTTAAATCACACAAATTCCTAACCTGGTACAAAGTTTTTTATTCATTTTATATTATGAAGTAGAAATAAAGTGAGAAAAACGTAAAAGAAAAACTTTCTCAATTTTCTCTTCTATTTACTGCTAACAGCTTAATTGAACTGAGAGCCAAGTGCGAGAATAATAATTACGTAGCCTTATTATTGTTATCACTCTCAATCATCATCACGAGAATAAAAAACGTTGTTGACATATATTTTCGTGTCGTGCTTATATTAATTGCACTGAATATATAACTTTGATATGATGTATTTTATTTAGACAGTTTATTCAATTAATGTTTGCTCATTAATTTTTTTTATTTTACTCAACCAAAATATTCGTAGTTTTATTAGAGTTGTCAAATAATTGCCACCACATTTTTTCTTATCAGTACTATTTATTCTCCTAAAATTAATTTATCTCATCGATATTTTATTCTTCAAACTCAACATTCTTCAAAACTTTAAAGAAAAATTCCTAACTGCAATTTGTATTGTCAAAAAAATATTCTGTGTGTGATAATTAATATTTAACCGTTAATGTGTGTAATAAAAGAACCAATTGGATTCAGAGAATTCATAACTATAATTAAAGATTATGAAATGAGATAAAAATTAGTTTTAAAAAATATTTTTATCAACATATCTTAAAACAGGTGTTATAATAAGCATGAAACAAACTACTTTTTATTTCTACTTTTTAATGATTCTAGTATTCTTATAATTAATATTATTAAATTAAAATCAGAGTTGCAAACAACTTTTTGAATTGTAAATTACAGTAAAAAGCTCTGAAAAGTTCTCAAAAAGTTTACTTCTGTCATTTATACAAATACTATCTTTGGTTAAATATCAATTAAATTAATTAAAAACATGAATTTCGATGTTAATTTTAATAAAATATATTTATCACATTTGCACACTTTCCACTGGTTTATTATACGTATTTAACATACCTAAATACATCTCACAACATTTCACAGTTTTATATCAGTCGTAGCTTTGTATTTCAACTTACTCTATATTATCCTGGTAACACTTTTTTTACATTCTGTGTATCATAAATTTTTTCACTTATTGCATTCATTTGAGTAACATAAAAGTATCCTCTAGCTCATTAATAAATGTGCTCGTTAATAATATCAACATTTGTACGTTAACTCATTTTTCCAGATAAATATTTTTTTTTATTTACATTGTACTTCGTATATTTTCTCGCTTACATCATAATCTCACTGTATTTAGAGAGAAAAACGTAGTCTTTAGTCAAGCCTATGACAACTGAATATACTAGTGAATAAATTAAACAGAAACGAGTAATGAAAAAAAATGACCAATAAAAAAACGATAAAGTAAAAGTTGTAGAAAGGGAGTGTGATAATAGAATAAAAGGAAATAAAAAAATGAGAGGAATCACGCGAAAGAGTGAATAACACAACTGCACACAAACTACCATCAGCTTCTGTACCTTAATGAGCCTGGAAATTCTGCAAAACAAACACGAACGTGCCTTCGTGATTTATCGTCAGTCCCTACTCGTTTTCTTTTTTTACTTTTCACTTACCTTCTTTCAATATCTTTTTTTTTTCGTTTCTGCACCCTTTCGACAAGAGACGGTACTTCTTTACTTTGTGTTCATGGACCAAAGGGTTTCCATTGCAATATTCCTCTGGTTATCAACAATCGGCTGATCGATAAACACAAAAACATCGACGTTCCATGCCATTGATTCGAATTCACGATTAAAAGTTGAAAAAATTTCTTACAACGTTTCCTGTTTCTTCAAAACACTTTAACCGTCTTTTTAATTACTTTTAATTCTCGACAAAAAATTGAGATACTTTTTTCCATGTATTTTGTCAAGATTCATTTTTTACACACATTTTTAAATTTATTTTTAAAAAATCGGCAACAATTATATATAATTTATTTTTTAATTAAATTAGTTTACGAAAAAAAAAACGAATATCAATAGATTATAATGAAAAACTTTTTATTTCAAGCATCATTTTATGCTAAGAACTATCATAATTGTTTTTAACTATGTTTGTTAACAACTTTAGTCCTTTTGTCGATGAAAGGAGTGATTAAAAGTTATTAAAACTTTAGCATATTTTTTCATTATTTTCTATAAGAATGCCAGTAAATTTTCAGTCTTTTAGAAACTTTATTAATAATTACTGTAAACAAAGAGGCAATATCATTACTTAAAACTGTCGCTTTAAAAATAGCATTCCATCTTTACAAAGTATCTTTACTTATTTTAAACAACTTTCAAAAATTAATTAAAGATGAACAAATAAAAAGGTCAGAAAGTTTGACTTTACTAAATAATTTATTTGACAACTAACAAAAAAAAAATCATCGCCGGTAATTTTTTAAATTATATATAAATTTTTTTTCAAAAAAGAACTTTCAAAAAACCAGTTAACTTCAGGGGTTTATTTAGTTCTTTTTCTTGTCACTAAAAATTCGTTAATTATTTGAAATGTCGGTGAAAAAAATTTCCACATAAAAAATTAATTAATACAAATTAAATATAAAATGTTAATTTAACTAATAAAAATTAATGATTATTAATAAAAATAATTGTTTGGTATGTTACAGATAGCGGAAGTGGATTGTTAACGTCAAAGGAAGAAGGCGTAGTAAGACAAAGGTGAGTTTGTTGAAATGATGATCTTAATGTCCCTAAAATGGGTCTAATAGTTTTTTAATAGCATGACTATGATTATATACATGTGTCTCCCTTTAATTTAAAAAGGCCTCTTTTTCGCTTGGCACTCCTAAAAAACCAGTCAAATAATACGGGTTGGAAGTACAGTAACGCGTACATCATAAATAACGTCTGACAAAAACTGTCGGCTTGTATTTCTTTTTATGTATTATTTTTTGTTTTTTTTCTATATAGTTGTACTCCAAAGTACTCGCTCTATTTCGCTACAGTTGAAAGTTTTACAGTAACAACCAATTGTTCTCTCTACTCCTGTACACTAGTATACACAAGTACATCCACTATCATCCCTCACTACCACAAGTACATTCGCCAATTCACGTTTTAAATTCTTTTAATTTTTTTTCATCCTTTTTGCCCGCTAAATTGAGATTCGTTAGATACTTTTTAACTAAAATAATACTTGATTGCTAAATTTCTGCTTAAAATACTTGCGGAATAAAAGAAAAACGGAATAAAGGCTAGAAATATAAAGACTACTCTTTACCATTGAATCTTTTTTAAAAGTTACTTTTACCAAAAACACTTAACGTCTATTAAAAAATTATCAAGAGAGTTTTAATTTATTTTCCATGTGGTTGAAAAATTTTTTCTGTTATTTTTCTTTTAAATCAATATCTTGATTTTAAACCACATTCTATTTTGTTCTCTAAATTTTTTGATATATTTTTTTTACCAACAAAAAAAATACGAGAAAAAATCACTCTCTTTAAAATAAATTAAAAAAAAAAATTATTTAACCATTTTTTTTACCCATCACTTTTTAACAATAACTTTTTGAAATCTTTTCAAAACTTATTTTATAGTAATAGAAAAATATCATTAATTATTGTTTATTATAATGCAAAAGGCCTTTTGTGGCAATTTTTTTTAACGCAAGCGTTTAAACCAACAAAAGTTAAATGAATTCTTTAGAAAGTTAAATTGTTGAATTGTTCACGAAGAAAATAATGTAAGGCTATTGAAAATAGTTTAAAGATTATTGTCGAAAGTATAAGACTCTTTACCACAACGAACGTTGACGTAACGCGGATATTCCTTAGTTCTTATGGTCACGGTGTTGGAAACACTGTAAAGAACTTGGCCAAGTATTCCCGTAGAGAATCTTGATTACGACATTCTTGCGTCAGTTGAGTGGATGCCTCTGGTCACGCTGAAGCTGCTTGCAGCAAACTAAACTCCTCTTGCCGCTTCGTTAAATAATCATAAAATCATCCAAGTCTCTTCATACCACCTGCTCCTATGTCAAATCAATGAATATACCGCCGAGCATCTAACGAGCATCCCCAATCGTTTTATATTTTATATATAGCAGAAATCCCTTATACACTACAATGCCTTTCTTAAATGCTCGTAAATCAGAGGGACATATTGCACTTTTTGATTCCCCAATAAAATTGAACGTAATTTTTTTTGTTACTTTTCTTGCTAAATGATTTATCACTTGAGGTAAAAAATAAATGAGGTACCTGCTAAAAGACCAAATGAATTCATCTGAGTGCAATAAACTGTGATATTGAGCTGAATTGATGAAATTAATGTGCATTTTAATAAATACTTTCGAGAATATTTCATTAATATTCAATGCCTAAAATAATCAAAATTATTAATAATAATGTATTAAATACAGATAATAGATAGACAATGAAAAAATTTAATTTTTGTTATCTTTAGTTATAAATAATAAAATATCGAGATTGTATTTAGTTAATGAAAATAGAACGGTTAAAAAATTCAAGTTAATTAAGCTTGGGTTATTTAACTATACATGACAAATCATTCCTTCAATTTATCATCCTTTGATTATTTTAACTCATCGTAACGTTAATTATTATAATGAATAATTTTAGTGAGAATATCTCAATTTCGTTCCTAATAAACTCATTACTGAATTCCTAAATCATATCTGTTTATTAATCGAGAAATTAAAATAACCAGTTCATTATTATTCATATTTTATATTAAATTTTCAGTCAATATACTTTTAATCTTTTCATTAAAAATTATTTTATTATTTATTTCAATATTTCAACAGAATGAAAATCATAATATTTGTCGATTGCTCATTGAAAAAATTTTTATTCGATAACGAAAATTGATTGGACATGTTATTAATTATTTAAAAAAGAAAAATATTAAATTTCAATTTAATTTATTTATTATTAGTCGTAATAAATATAGTTTTGTAATAAATCAAACATTCGCAGAATTGGGTCAAAAGACCAAACAGTATAATGTTGATCCAATTTGACTCATCAAAAGTGACAATTATGATGAAATAAATAAAAAAAAAAAAAGTAATAAATTAAATATTTTAACGAAAATTGAATTAATAGTCTTTAATTAAATGGGAATATTATCAACTAAAAAAGAATATTCATTCTACTCCAAAACATCAAATAAATTAATAATCGAATGTTGATGAATAATAAAAATTTATGAATCGTATAAAAGGTAGCAATAAATGTTTGATTATTTTTAGATTTAACATTTAAATAAAACTTTTAAATCATTGTAAAATAATTTTTAAAAAATTGCTTTTGACACATTCAATTCGTAAAAAGTAGTCTACGAGATATTGTGCCAAGAGTCAATGACATTAACGATAGAAAATGGAACTCGACAAAAGCATAAAAAAATATTTTTCTGAAGAATAGAAGGAAAAAAGGATGATAAAAAGATCACAAGTATATCATACGATTTCTCAATTCTTTTTAATTTTTACTTTAACTCGTTTGGCTTTAGTTGCTAACTGAACCACTTGATATATGATTCGTTTGTACCTGAATAAATGTCGTTTATATTTTCAATGGTTGTATAGCTTTGATCAGAGTATAGTATGGCATTGGTTTTCCAATGAAGGGTCTACATACATGGCCACAGAACTCGTGTTACTGGAGACATTGAGACCTAAAGGGTAAACATCTCTCCCTCTGTCTCTCTACTGTTGTAGAGGCTTAAATGCAACGAACATCCGAGACCAATACAAGAGAAGTACGTGCGTAATTTTGGTCTCGAATGCTTTTCATTCAACCATAGGCAATGGATCGCGAAATCGTTTGGTTTTGTGGTATCGATTTAATGAGAAAACAATTGACTAGAGGTGAGATGATGGAATACATTAGTCCAATTGAAAATCATACATAAAAAAAAAATATATAAAAAAAATTACTCATTCTCTGTTTTACATTTCAAAGATGAATATTTTTTAATTTATAAATTTTTATCAGATGTTTTCTCTCGCTTTTAACAACTAAAAGCCTTAAAATTTTCTAAATGAAATTGAATCAACTGTTTTGCAATGCAATCCATACAATTGTCAGCATTCAAAAAAATATCTAAGATTAAATTTGAAATAAAATTAGCAACTTTAACTGATTTTAAATAATTGAAATGTTTTTAACAAATAGTTGGATGTGATAGACAATTTTTCTTTGAAATATTATAAGAGTATTTAAATTTAAACGTATAATAGTTTATTGTTATAAAATGGTAAATTTAAATTAAATTTTCATAAATGGAAAATAATTGAGGTAATCTTTCTAGTCAATATGACTGAAAAAATATATGGATATTTATTTGGAAGCTTACTGTTCATAAATATAAAATTAACTATAAATAATATATTTAATGGATTGTAAATTCATCATTCATTAATTTGTTAGAATTAAATTTTATTGCATTTTATACTATCAATTAACTGATTCCATGCTGAATGGGTAATATCATTTGATACATTTTAATATTTCTATGTAAATAAAATTGTTTCGTACTTTTGGTTGTGTAAATTTATTTGATTATTTTAGTAAATTCCAGCAAAACCCTTTGCTTTCAACGATAATTATTTAAATACTTCAAATAGTTGTAAAGAAGAATTTTTAATTTATTCATCAAGAAATTATTTATAAATCTACTTATTGAATTTTTTGTTATTTTCAAATGAATAAATTTGATTAATATTACTTGATAATCTAGAAGAATTTATATTATTTGAGAGTTTCAATAGAAATGGAATGAGCTAATTTTTTTTTTGAGTAAAAACCATTTTATTATATTCACATTAAAGTGAAAAATTCAAGTGGAAGCTTCAAAGGACAAGGTATCGAGAATACTGAGATATTTGCACGTGATCCAAGAAAATTTATTCATCTGAGAATATATAAAGCAAAAGTCAAGAACGAAAAGACTTTTCTTGACTTGCTTTATTCTTTCCAATGCAAAACGTTATCTGATCATTTGTATTACTTGTATCATATATCTACTTTCAACCTACTTGAACTGTGATACAGTGAATAGCAGATGAGAGTTGAAGAAGGTCGTACCAATATCCATGTTACATAATAAGGGAGCTTTCTGTACGCCATATACGAATTTCAATTTTCAATATTGCGAATCTAAAATCGCGAAATTTTTTTGTCTAACTGATCATCAGAATCCTTTCAAAAGTATAGACTTTATGTGATAGAATTTTTTTACTGCTAAATCTGTCCCTTCTTCTCTTGACACAAAATAACAAGTTTAAAAAAAAAAACCACCAACTTCATAAAAAAAAACCCGAAAAAGGCCACGAAGGAGAGTAAAAAGGTCGTAAATGTAAATAGAAAACAATGAGCTAAAAAATGTGACATCAGTTTTTTTACATTTAAAAAATAAAAAAAAAAACGAGAAATTGTGTGCAGTAATTTTTTTCATTCCACTGAATAAAAAGATGCATTTTTAAAAAGTAAAAGTTTGTAAAAAAGAAGAAAAATAGTTTACCAACTTAAAAAGAATAAAAAAAAAAACGTAAAAATCATGGTATACGATGAATTAAAAAATATTCCATCTGCTGTTTCAATTCCCTGAAGCTTTGTTATTTCCGTTTTTCACATTGTGCACGATATACACAACAAGAGAACACCAAGGTTCGACAAGATGCTCCCATA